CTTGGATTACATCAACAGAACATTGTAACAGATATTAAAAGAATAAATTAAAATGTATTTAGAAATGACGTGCGAGAGTGTAACACGCCTGATACATAAATAACGAACGCTCCGTTCCGGGTGGAGGCCGGGCACCGCCTGCTGGTCGGGGAGACGTTTTTATTGGACGCCGAGCGCCAGAATTAATGGGATGATTTCCTTGCGTTTAGCACACGGCACCCCAGACAATTGCAGGCGCTCCATATATAACCGGATACAGCGGCACGCGGAGACCCTGCCGGGGCCGGCAATACGCGTCTATGGATCTGTGTGTGCGTGGAGTGCCGGGCATATCTAAAGAGGACCTGTTATCAGATATGCTACGTGCAGCACGCGGAGTAAAGTGTCATGTGACCCTTCCAGGTATGTATTTACATGACGCAATCATGTCACTGGGGGGAGGGGAGAGTGAGGAAATGCTTCCTCCTGCCTGCAGCAGACTGATCACTGGGGGAGGGGGGACTGAGGAACTGCTTCCTCCTGCCTGCAGCAGACTGATCACTGGGGGAGGGGGGACTGAGGAACTGCTTCCTCCTGCCTGCAGCAGACTGATCACTGGGGGAGGGGGGACTGAGGAACTGCTTCCTCCTGCCTGCAGCAGACTGATCACTGGGGGAGGGGGGACTGAGGAACTGCTTCCTCCTGCCTGCAGCAGACTGATCACTGGGGGAGGGGGGACTGAGGAACTGCTTCCTCCTGCCTGCAGCAGACTGATCACTGGGGGAGGGGGGACTGAGGAACTGCTTCCTCCTGCCTGCAGCAGACTGATCACTGGGGGAGGGGGGACTGAGGAACTGCTTCCTCCTGCCTGCAGCAGACTGATCACTGGGGGAGGGGGGACTGAGGAACTGCTTCCTCCTGCCTGCAGCAGACTGATCACTGGGGGAGGGGGGACTGAGGAACTGCTTCCTCCTGCCTGCAGCAGACTGATCACTGGGGGAGGGGGGACTGAGGAACTGCTTCCTCCTGCCTGCAGCAGACTGATCACTGGGGGAGGGGGGACTGAGGAACTGCTTCCTCCTGCCTGCAGCAGACTGATCACTGGGGGAGGGGGGACTGAGGAACTGCTTCCTCCTGCCTGCAGCAGACTGATCACTGGGGGAGGGTGGACTGAGGAAATGCATCCTCCTGCCTGCAGCAGACTGACCGCTGGGGGAGGGGAGACTGAGGAAATGCTTCATCCTGCCTGCAGGAGCATTTTTAGGGGTACTATGATCTCTCCTTCAAAGACATGATGAGTCTTTAGTTATCATGCCCGGTTACACGTGGTGAAGGATCCGTTGCCTCCTATGAGGACACATTCGGACATCCTCTTCCGGCGTCTTTTCTGCGGGCGGTCATGTAGACGCGGCGTTTCCGTGCATACCACCGGGATAAGGATCGTTATTAGAGTCATGTGACTCTCATTCTTACATCTCATTGGACTGAAGTGAAGCTGAATCTGGTCATATGGGCGGACCTCCGACTTACCAGACTTGTTTGGGCAATGAGCACGGATGGGGCTGCTGCTGGCGGCGTGCGCGGTCTCCCAGGAGACGCAGTGGTCGCGGTCCCACAGACAGCTGATCCCCTGTACGGCGCCGATGCACTGCTCCTGGGTGCGGAAAGCCTCGCAGCTCGGAGGTTTGTACACTAAGATGTCGTTCAGGAGGACGCTGGAGAATCCCCCGAATATGTACATGGACCTGCGGGGGGAGAGAAAAGAAAACTTTATTTCATACGTGAAACGCCACTGTAGGGGGCGGAGCCACGGGGAAATTATCATAATTTAATTTAAAAAAGGAGCGCCGATTCATACATCAAAATTATTATTTATTTACATAGCGCCATCGTCTGCAGGGGTGCTGTACAAAGCAAAATATATACAAAGGATGGTAAGTAATGCGAGAGGGGGGGATGGGGGGCGGGGGAATGTTCCCTCATGTCAAGTCATAAATCACATAGATGTGCGTGTGTGTGTGTATACACTATATTGCCATAAGTATCGGGACGCATTTACACGCACATGACCTTTAATGGCCTCTCAGTCTTAGCCCGTAGGGTTCAGTATTGGGTTGGCTCCGCCCTTTTCCTGCTATAACAGCTCCGCCTCTTCTGGGAAGGCGTCTACAAGGTTTAGGGGTGTGTCTATGGGAATGTTGGACCATTTGTGAGGTCCGGTACTGATGTTGGGGGAGGGGCTCGCAGTCTCCGCCTCTAATTCATCCCAGAGGTGTTCTATGGGGTTGAGGTCAGGACTCTGTGCGGCCAGTCACGTTCCTCCCCTCCCCCATCCATGTCTTTATGGACCTTGCTATGTGCACTGGTGCGCAGTCATGTTGGAACAGGGAGGGGCCGTCCCCAAACTCCTCCCACAAAGTTGGGAGCATGAAATTGTCCAAAATGTCTTGGTGTGCTGATGTCTTAAGAGTTCCCTTCACTGGAACTAAGGGGCGGAACCCAACCCCCGAAAAACAACCCATGATGGTCAGCGGTGAGGGGTGATGGTCAGCGGTGATGGGGTGATGGTCAGCGGTGAGGGGTGATGGTCAGCGGTGAGGGGTGATGGTCAGCGGTGATGGGGTGATGGTCAGCGGTGATGGGGTGATGGTCAGCGGTGATGGGGGGATGGTCAGCGGTGAGGGGTGATGGTCAGCGGTGAGGGGTGATGGTCAGCGGTGAG